AACTTAATTAATTGAATAACTTCTAAATATTCTGTAGGATATATTATTACAGATCTGAAATATAAAAGAGTAGTGATAGAAAAATTACGAGAAAATGAAGCCAAAACTGTTTGCAAAACAACCACATGAATGCTGCAATCATAAAATGTTGAGCTGTGCTGCTCAAATAGGCTGTTCTTCTCAATTAAAGAGATTGCCCAGAATGGATCCCTAGCTTTTCTGACTTTTATTGCAATGGATAAAATTCATTATTAGCAAGGAATGTCTGTGGTAAATTGAAATTTTTCTTGCAATCCTCAGTTCATAGCCCTACCTACAGTCCTTCACAATAAAGCTATCCATCACTACACACGAAGCAGAAACTAGTGCATCCACAGGCGGTCCAAGCGTACTGTATGTGATTTTGGGGTCTCAAGATCATTATTAAAAACTGGATCGTTGGATAATGCAATTCAAGACTTTTCATTGGCTAAGCCATTATGGTATACGAGCCAATATACCATAATCTAATATCTGTACATTGTAACTGGTTTCTTCTTACAAAATAAAGTCGACAAGATTTGTCTAATATCTTGGGGGCGTTTTTTTTTTCAATAAAACACTTATTCCACTTGCGCTTGTTGAATATGAGATGATTATTGTGAACTCGGCAGTAGGCGCCTCGTTGGCAATCTATCATCTCATATCCAACGTGTGCTCTTAGAATATTTGTTAATTAACAAGAATACCTGGTAGATAAAGACCAAATTTGAACCGTAAGCATATGCTATTTAAAATAGGGAAATATTATAATAAAAAATTAAGAATAATGAAAAAGGATAATAAAAGCAAGTTATATAACGTGTTGAGTCTCCTCACCTTTTTTACATAGCCACTTTGTCATTTACGGTCCAGTTTACTAAGTACAGTAGACTGGTAACATCACATGCATTACAAAGTAAGTCGCCAAAAGAGTGTTAAAAGGACTGTAAATGACAAAGCGACTACAGAAAAAAGATAAGGAGACTCAACACGTTATACTCCTTGGTTTTATTGTACTTTTTAATTTTTCTTAATTTTTTTTGTAATATTTCCTTTATTTAATGGCCCACCCCTACAGTTAAAATTTTATCTTAATCTGTTTGGTATTTCCGTTAATGACCTTAATGACCTTTCAACCCCAAATCACACACAGTATGCTTGGGCCACCTGTGGTGCATCCTGTAATCTGGAATTTTCTAATTGATGACAGTATTATGAAGAGTACGGAATTTTCAGCTCATCAAGGGTGGCTTGCCTTTTTTGGCCTGAGTGTTCAATCCATAATAAAATAATGAAATAACCACTAGGTTTGGATCCTTTGATCAACGATTAATAAAATGCCTTAGATAACTCTGAAATGTTTTAGGATGATGTTAAGAAAATGTGAAAGATTGTGCAAAGTTTTTAACCTTACTTGGCTTCTGTTTCACCCCAAACACCTCCGTTCTCAAGCACACCCCACCCTGATGCGTTTGTGGCAGGAATCGCACATATCTTGTTAACACTCCATATAGAACATGTTTAACAGCTGAGTTTCTATCCTTATTTCCCTCTAAAACCTTAGGAAAATAAAAAACAATCACAACTCAGAGAGTTCCAGGTAGATTGCACAATGTTGCTATCGTACACGTAACTCTCTAAGTAATTATCATTACCTTACTGCTTGTTTTTTCAAAAGAATCCTTGTTTTGTTTTAACGACTTTACCAGGTGTGACTAGACCCGAAAAGGTTAGTGCGCACGGAACACAAGGTCCATGCGAGGCACCACCCCTCCCCCCAATTCACCCTGGATAGACACTGCACAAATATAGACCAAAACACCGGGCACTACGTGCCCGATACTCTTTTTGAGGATTGTGTGGGTTCTTTAACATCCCGCAAATTTAAATCACATATAGGGGCTTGTGAGATGAGATCTCCATTTATCGTCCCTTGCAAGAAGAATAGAAAGTCTAACTGTTTGCAGCTATATTACAAAGGCAGCACTTTCTACTCATGCAGTTATTTAAAGACCCTGAGTGTTGGTCCGGCTGGATTTGAACTCTCGACCTCCTGCCCAACAGTCCGGCGCTATACCAATTGAGCTAACTGGGAGGCAATTAATCCTTTTATTGATATGACAATGGTTGCACTGGGTGGTCTATTTAATTTTAAAACAAACAGAAAAATACAGGTAGGAGTTTGGCCCAACATTTTTTGGAAGAGAACCATATCTACGGTCGGGTTATAACAGTACTATAAAGAAATGGATAAATCACATTTTTACCAGTGGTTTAATATAACAAACACAGTGTAACACACTCACGCTCAAATGTGAACTGTATCTAGACCTGAAAAGTAAGTTAGGGCCTGTAAATCTTTCTTCAGGCTCCTTTTACCTGCAGTTTCTTCAAATGCAGTTTAGCTATGACAACCTTTTAATAACTTGTTGGATTGAGAGCAACAATCTCTCAGTATTTAGAAATCATTATTCTATAAGCATTTGATATAGTATATGTTTGAAGGAATAAAGTAGTTCACAACTTTGTTACATTCCCTGTCCACTTCTCCCTGGTGGTCTTTCCAGCTTCGACTGCGAATTCAGACATGCAAAATATCATTGGCTAAACAATAAAATTTATTGTTAATTATTTCCAAAAAATTCTTGAAATTTGCTGAGCCTGAGTAGAATACTTGTTTAAGTTTAATTGGCCAAATAATCCTCCACTCGCCAACACAAAATTCTCCTCTGGTGGCCATTTAAAATCGGCGCATCACTATTATCAAACTCAGGTACAGTGATTATATATAAGGCATTAAGTATGATATAATTCTCGAGCAGTCCATGTAGCATACCTTAACCTGTCCAAGTTCCTTATAGTCAGTCCATGTTGTTCCATCTGTGGATAGTTGTAGTTTGTAAGTCTTCACCCACTGATCTGCCTTAGAATTCCCTTGAGTTGACACAGCACAAATAATGTGAAGTGCCCGTAGGTCAATCTGTAGATATGGGTTCCGTTCACTTGCTCTTGCACACCATGATGATCCTGATGTGTAGTGCAGTCGACCGTTCTTGGATGGTGTATTGGCACTTTGTTCAGAAGAAGCAGCGACTTTATTGTCTGGAATTGTTCTATTTTCCATACCAAGATAAAACTCAACACAACCTCCTACACAAAGATAAAATGTAAAACATCAATCACAACTATATACCCAATATTGTCATTTTATGTCCAGGCGGATGGCATAAGAGGATAAAACTCTCGCAGTTTCATCTCAGCAATGTAGTCACGATTCAGGTAAATGACAATTTAATAAAGTGTGCATGTGGCCATATACTGTGATCATCACAACAGTAGGCTTTTAGAACTTTCCTGGAACATTAAAACTTTAATTGTAATGAACATAAAAAAGACTTCATTACGTAAATTCCTTTATTTGATTTTACATGATAAGTAGATATACTTCTATTTTGTTTCATTAACGAGTTTACATCCCTATTTTTAGATAATGTTCACAGTTTGAATCACTTCTGTACCTACAGTGTGGCCATTTCTGTTTAAACCAATCATGCACATGAATTGTACCCTTAATGGAAAAGGCCCCTTAAGTACCAAGGTCAGTTGGAGTTGGGAGATTGATCGACTTAGATCAGAGTTTCTCCTGAAGTTTCGCTAATTCATTGAAATGTAACATTGGAGTTTCTTTAAGCCTTTGAAGACAGAATCAGATGTAAGTTGCAGCCTAGTGTAGTAAGTTTTGTTTTCCTTTCAATTACAGTTACCAGTCTGAGGGCCTGATTACATGAGCCGGGCTGGCCCTGTTAGCTGGGCTGATTTCTTTTGTTTTGGTGTTCGCCAAAGCGTGAAAACAAAAGAAATCAGCCTGGCTAACCGGGCCAGCTCGGCTGATGTAATCAGGCCCTGAGTTACAGGTATGGATGGAACACAGCACTCCTTCCCTCTTTCTTTCCTTCTTACAATTCCTGTCACCTTCTTTCTAAATCCACTTGCCAGTATATAAAAATTATATAGAAAGCATTGGCAGACACATGCCCCAAGTCCAAAAAACTTTTATTCACAAAGTGATTTATTTCAGCAGCAATGTTTTTTATTCATTGATAGTTTCTACATGGTCAACAGCATATGATTTTAAGTTTGAAGTTCTCTCTGTTAAACCAATTCAATGCTGCTCGATGAAAGTAGCCTCCAGTATGATTGTGATTGACCTGAACCTAACATCAAAACACAAACAAGCCACATTTAAGCTATGATTGTTGGGAAAAGACGTCGAAGTTATTCCTCCTTGATTCAATTGTAAGGGATGGTCGTCATTGTTTTTCCAGCGATTGGTTTGCAATGCTTTGACACCCCTGACAACATAGGGCTAGACAAAGGCTAGCATATTTTGAGTTTGAAATTGATGGACAAGCTGGACAAATTTGTTGATGATTAATATACTCCAGACAATCTTTTAAACACAACAATCACAAAAGCGAACACTGTCTTTTCCTTTAGATTTTTTTTACACATTTACATTTGACCTCACAACCTCTAGCAGTCCAAGCTCCCACAGCCAGACTGCTGTGCCACACTGCACATAATTTATTCAATTAAGGTAGAAACTCTAATCATTTAACAACTTCAAGAGTGACATTATGCAGACAATGGACATCTCAGCCTTTGAACCAAGTTTATCTAAAACACAATAATCTTCCCATTTCATGTGCAGCATCAGGAAGAAGCCCATTCAGTGAGTTTTCAAACAAATATCAATTTGCCACAAGAAAAAAAAGAACACTTAATAATTAAAAGCAAAGTAGGTGTTCAATCAAACTTACAGACTCTGAAACAGAGAAGAGCCAGCTTGATTCACCTTCATGTAAAATTTAACAACCTTTAAATTTTAAGTTAATCTCCAAAGTTGTGTTACAATGATTTTTCAATTGATCAGGTCAATAGATTTTTAACTTTGAGAGGACCAAACTTAATGCATAACAGTTGCACATATTTTGAAGGTTCTTACCATCTTTCATGGTTCTCACCATTACAGGAGAACTCTTTGGTCCATCACCAACTGAAGTGTAGGCCAACACTTGGAATTCATATTCTGTGTGCTTGTCTAGGCCAGTGACCATTTTGTGATGAGTAGCTCCATCAATTATCGGCAACATGGTTGCTGAACCTAGTACAGTTTTATTTTTGTAGAACAATTTAAATCCTATGATTAATCCATTTCTGGAGTCTACTGGTGGTAACTGCCAGTAGGTTGTAACAATTGAAGATGTACTTGCAGTCACAGTGAAATTGCTAGGAGCTTGTGATGGAACTGCAATTGGAAAAATTAGTTTTACCATTTCATTTGAGACCTGCATTCAACAGTTAACAGCCCAGCATTTCCTCACTTACCTCAAGACTAACACCACATGCATTAACTAGGATAGTAGAAATCATACTGCATGGAAATTTAAAATACATTTTTGGGGGAGAAATTTTTGCTTTAGGTGGCAATAAAGGCCTGAAATTTCTGCTATTTATTTTAAACTGTAACCTTGATCTGTCACATACCATCTTCCATTGTTCTTTCTACCTCAACAGAACTATTTGGCCCATCACCATCAGATGAATAAGCCAGGACTTGAAATTCATATTCTGTGTACTCATCAAGACCAGTGACATTTTTACTCAATGTTAATTCCCCTCTAATAGTCAAGTTTCTTGCTGGCTTATCAGAACCTTTCTTCTTGTAGAAGAGTTTAAACCCTATGATGGTTCCATGTCTGGCAAAGACTGGAGGTAACTGCCAGGAAGCTGTGATGCTGGTAGAAGAGCTTGCAGTCAAGTTGAAGGCGGTAGGAGGACGTGACGGAACTGAAATAAACAACATCTGATGTGAAATTTAACAATGATACCTTAATTTTCCAAACCTATTAAACCTTTTGCTGACAACCCTTCATTTGAGAGTACAAGAAGTTCATTTTTAATAAAATGCGTCTACTTTTGTTCAATAGTTTGATCCTCCACATATAAAACTTAAACTGTATCTTTGTTTTCCAAAAACCAGATGAGCTATGGGAACCACAACAAATTCTGAGCACCACTCTCCTTCTGTGTCCCTCCCTGTATTACACAACTAAAAATCTCAGATGTCTTTAAGATTAATTCTCTATGTATTGTAAAATTTGTTTTCTTATCACCATCATTCATCACTCTAATTTACCTTTCCCATATTTATTTCAGAGAAATAGTTGCATTCATGATTATGACACTAGAGCCTCAGCTCTCCTTCTGCCTAACATCTGTAGAATGAAGATTAGACAGTTTGCTACACTCTACCAAAAGCCAAAAATATGCAATATTTAACCACCTTCAGTTACCTCTTCTCTCAAAACATCTCCTTTCCAAAAGAGGTTTCATGATTTTCTCAATTATTAATCAACAGACAAAAAAAAAAAGGATAAAGAAAATCAACATAAAAACTCAAAAAGCCAGCAATCCAATCTTACAGACAACCACTCAAACATTTTGACACTCCTTAGTCTTGTTGGTGTTGAATGTTCAATTCTATGATGCTCATGCTGCTCTAAAATACATAGGGCCTCCTTTAAATCATTCTCATTCAACAAAAGTACAATAAGTATGGGATCGAATATTTAAATTTGCCTCAATTCTGTAAAATTGCCCTATCTTGTCCTTCCCAAATAATTAGCTATCAGAACTTCATTTTGTATCAGAGGGACAGAAATGAGAACAAATCATTACCTTTACTCAAAAGAATTCCATAAGCTTCCACTCTCAGAACCTTGAAATTATGATAACTTGTAGGCAGAAAGTGGATAAACTTTGCACTTGCAAATTCTTTAAGACTGTTCTTCCTAGTGTCCGTTTTTCCTGAATTTCCGGTAAAGACCTATAATACGTGATAAAAAAGGGGTGATATTATCATATTAATTAATTGGCATAGTTAACGGTTTGCCATAATTTGTGAAATGTAATACAAATCTCTAACTTAATTACAAAATAAAAATCTTTAATTTGCAAAATGAAAATCTTTGATTTGCAAAATGAAAATCTGTAATTTGCAATATACCAATCCGTATTTTATCAAAAGAAAATCCTTTATTTTACCAACTGAAAATCTGTAATTTGTGAAAAGAACTCAAAATGAAAATCTGTAGGGCGCAGAGAGAAAACCGGTTAACTGTAAGTTAACTGTGTATTGTCTGCAAACATGATTGTTGTTAGAAGAAATAAAGAGCCTGATACAATTATGCAAGTCCTTCATAGTAAAGAGTAAAGAGAACCAAGGATTGTGCCCTGAGGAATTCAGCATGTTAGCTACCTGCTTAGCTCACATTGTAGAGCGTTGGACAGCTGTGCGGGAGGTCAAGGGTTCAAGCCCCAGACCAGACCTGGGATAATGTGCTGCCTTTGCTATGACAAATATTTAGATATTCTAGTCTCCTCAAATAAGGACGAAAAGCCATAGGCCTTATCTCCTGCATCTTCTCTGTACTGATTAGTAGAAAAATATGAAAGTTTGGGATCAACACTTGATCATGAATTGGTGGTGCGCTCGTGTGCTACCAATCAAATCTTAAAATAACTGAGGTGAATGTGCTGCCTTTGCTATGACATCTGCAAATGGTTAGACATTCTAGTCTCCTCAGATAAGGACAAAAAACCATACTGGTTGTCAGAAGATGTTAAAGAACCCCACACACTTATCACATAAAGTGTGCAATGAAGCTCCCGGTGTTGTGGTCTGGCCTTGTCATAGCTTACACAGGCCCTCGTTTAAACCAGCTCTGACCTGAACTGGGCCAGTCTTACTAAATATCACAAATACATTTGCACTATCTGACGTTTTGTTCTGTAGTATCGCTGATTATTTTTATGAGTTGTGCCAGATTTTGATGAGCCTGTAGGGCAAGTCAATATACAAATAACAAATAAAAATATACTCAGCAATACAACACAACAAAACGTCCAATAAGTTATTTATCATCCAACAAACCAAAAAGACAGCCTCTTAAAACTCGTATATAAAACTGCATCATTAAACATAAGAAAATAGTAACACTACAATGTAGAATATAAATTATAAAGCCAGCTTATAATTAGTAATTATTTGAAATAGAAGGGGCGATTCAACATGGTAATCCTCAGCCTCTAGGAACAAAAATAACATGTCCTAAAAGAGTTTTTTGAAAGCTCTCTTCGGGAGTTGTCAAAGAGCATCGCAAATGGAGTTCCAAAGTTTAGCTCCGAAGCTAGCAAAAGAGCCCTGGCTTTGATTCAGTCTCGATGGATTAATATAAAAATTGCCGAAAGAAGAGAACCTCGTATCGTGATTATGCTTTTCAGTAGCTTTAATGAAAAGATTACTAATGTTAGTAGGTACAGTTAGACATGAGACATCAAACATAATTGAGGAAACTGATTCAACGTATAACATATTTATGGGGAGGATTTTTGAGGAGATAAATAAAGGCACCGCATGTGCTCTGGGTTCAGAAAAATATATCAGCCAAAGAACATGTTTTTGTAGGACGAGGATTTTATGTAAATGGGATTTAGAAGCTTGGCCCCAAACAGCCATGCCATAGGATAGATAAGGAAGGATCAAAGAGCAATAAATAGTTAATAGAGTGGTTAAAGGTACGAGATGCCGAAGGCGGGCAATAATTCCAATTATTCTGCTTATTTTTAGTGCCACATTGTCAATGGGAAATTTCCAACTCAAATGACTATCCAATAATTAAGACACCTGAAAATTTTATATGATCCTTACATTCAAGAGAGGTGAAAGAATGAGTGTATGACAGAAGTATGCGAAATGGAACAGAATTGGCATGTTGCTGTTTCTAATTTCTACAATAAATGATGAGATTTCATTGCAATAAACTCGATCAAAATTTGCCAGCCATTCCACCTCTTTGTTGTCGGAAAATTGATTTAAATTGTCCTCCATTTATTTTTGGAACTTCAATCCAATTAGTTGATTGCATGATGGGAGAAAGCCTACCTAACCAGTTGTCTGAAGTACAAATACTGCATGATATTTGTACTCGTCTTGGGTGTTATTTGTATTCTACAGAGTGTAGTTGAATAATATACAATACAACACTGATAATAATGGCTGTCAAAGAGATCACAACCCCTTAGTTATCAATCTTTAAATTTTAGGATAACTTTAAGAAATAAGTGTGATTGAACCTTTTCTATTGATCAGTCATTGCTACATCTTTGCACACTCATGCTTATATGAAGACATATATTCAACTAATAGATTTTATGTCTTTATTGGTGTGTATTTAGTATCCTTACATGTCGATGATGAAAACTATCAGTTTTGAAAGTAATGTTGATATGGCTTGCAAGCAACATACACTGTAAGAATATTGTTGGTATGGCATTTTTAGCCATCACATGCAAATATGTAATTCTTGTAATTGTATGTTTTAGTTTAGTACTAACTTGTGCTCTTATTAATACTTCTATAAGAGAGCATGTCATACAAACCTTATCAATTTTAGTTTCATTATTTAATTTGTTCCATGTGCTCTATGTATGTGTTAGCGATCGTGTTCCATTAAAATTATCATTCATGTTCAATTTCTCGCCAACTGATTTCCTTCTCTCGAAACAAATCAACAATAATCATTGTCAAAGAGACCACAACCCCATAGTTATCAATCTTTAATTTCTAGAATAACTTTAAGAAAGAAGTGTGATTGAACATTTTATATTGGTCAGTCATTGCTACATCTTTGCACACTCATGTTCATATGAAGACAAACATTCAACTAATAGATTTCATGTCTTTGTTGGTGTGTATTGAGTCTCCTTACATGTTGATGATGAAAAATATCAGTCCTGAAAGTAATGCTGATATGGCTTGCAAGCAACATACACTGTAAGTATATTGTTGGTATGACATTTTTAGCTATCACGTACAAATATGTAATTCTTGTAATTAGTTTTAGTTTAGTACTAACTTGTGCTGTTATGAATAATTGTATAAGAGTGCATGTCATACAAACCTTCTCAATTTTAGTTTCATTATAAGGGGAAAAAGTGGTACCACTGAGAGAAAATCTTAGTTTGTACTCTGTGGTCCATTCTTGAGCATTTGGGGATTGAGATGGTGGGTTTCCTTGGGTAGCTACAGCACAGATAACATACTCATTTAGTAGGTCAATTTGTAGGTAGTCTTGAGGATCAGCAGTGGTCTTAGGTGCCCATGCCCCTGTTCCATTAAGACGACCATATTTAGCTGCATATATAGATTTATATATTGAACTGGCAAAGAAGCTGTCATCTGGAATCCTACCACCATCGGCCAAACCAATCGCCCGTGAATCACAAGCTGCAAGGTAACAATTCTAAGTTAACTGTCATATATGTAGCTTTACATAATTATTACAGGACGGTATGTTTTTTTTTTAAACTTAATTAATTGAATAACTTCTAAATATTCTGTAGGATATATTATTACAGATCTGAAATACAAAAGAGTAGTGATAGAAAAATTACGAGAAAATGAAGCCAAAACTGTTTGCAAAACAACCACATGAATGCTGCAATCATAAAATGGTGAGCTTTGCTGCTCAAATAGGCTGTTCTTCTGTAATAAAGAGAAATAAAGAGATGCCCAGAATGTATCCCTAACTTTTCTCACTTTCATTGCAATAAATGGGTAAAATTTATGATTAGCAAGGAATGTCTGTGGTTAATTGAAGTTTTTCTTGCAATCCTCAGCTCATAGCCCTACAGTCCTCCACAATAAAGCTATCCATCACTACACACGAAGCAGAAACTAGTGCATCCACAGGCAGTCCAAGCATACTACTGTGTGTGATTTTGGTGTCTAAAGGTCATTAACAGGAATACCTAACAGATTAGGATCAAATTTGAACAGTAAGCCTAGGCCGTTAAAAAAGGGAAATATTATAAAACAAAATTAAGGAAAATTAAAAAGGATAATAAAAGCAAGGAATATGTAACATGCTGAGTCTCCTTACCTTTTTTCCGTAGCCACTTTGTCATTTATGGTCCAGCCTACTAACAGTAGAGCTGGTAACACCACATGCATTACAAAGAAAGTCACCAAAATAGTGTTAAAAAGGACTGTAAATGACAAAGCGGCTACAGAAAAAAGATAAGGAGACTCAACGTGTTATATTCCTTGCTTTTATTACACCTGTAATTTTTCTTAATTTTTTTTTATATTTCCTGTTCTTAATGGCCCACACTTACGGGTTAAAACTTTATCTTAATCTGTTAGGTATTTCCATTAATGACCTTAAGACCTCAAATCACACACAGTATGCTTGGGCTGCCTGTGGTGCATCCTGTAATCTGGAATTTTCTAATTGATGACAGTATTATATAGAGAATGGAATTTTCAGCTCATCAAAGGAGGCTTGCTTTTTTTGCCTGAGTGTTCAATCCATAATAAAATAATAAAATAACCACTAGATAACTCTGAAATGTTTTAGGATCATATTGAGAAAGTGTGAAACGTTGTGCAAAGTTTTTAAACTTACTTGGCTTCTGTTTCACCCCAAACACCTCTGTTCTCATGCACGCTACACCCTGTTGTGTTTGTGATACAAATCGCACATATCTTGTTAACACTCCATATAGAACATGTTTGACAGCTGAGTTTCTATCCATATTTCCCTCTAAAACCTTAAAAAAATTAAAAATACAATCACAACTCATCGTAGAGTTCCAGGAAGATTGCACAATGTTACTCTTGTACAAGTAACTCTAAGTAATCATTATCACTTTACGGCTTGTTTTTTCAAAATAATACTTTTATTGTTATAGCAATGGTTGGACTAGGTGGCTTAATTAATTTCCAAACATAATAGAAAAATACAGGTACGAGTTTGGCCCAACGTTTTTTGGAAGAGATCGAACCATATCTACAGTGGTTATAACAATACTATAAAGAAATAAATAAATCACATTTTTACCACTGGGTTATAACAAACACAGTGTAACACACTCACACTCAAATGTGAACTGTATCTAGACCTGAAAAGTAAGTAAGGGCCTGTAAATCTTTCTTCAGGCTCTTTTTACCTGCACTTTCTTCGACTGCAGTTTAGCTAGTGTGACAACCTTTTAATAACTTGTTGGATTCAGATCTAGAGCAGCAATCTCTCACTAATTAGAAATCATTTGTTCTGCAATAGTAAATGTTTGGAGGAGTAAAGTAGTTCAAAACTTTATTAGATTCCCTGTCCACTTCTCCCTGGTGGTCTTTCCAGCTTCGACTGCAAATTCAGACATGCAATATATCATTTGCTCAACGATAAATTATTTCCAAAAACTTCATGAAATTTGCTGAGCCTGAGTTAAGAATACTTGTTGAAGTTTAATTGGCCAAATAATCCTCCACTTGCCAACAAACAATTCTCCTTTGGTGGCCATTTAAAATTGGTGCATCAATATTATCAAACTCAGGTACAGTGATTAAGGCATGACGTAAATGTGATATAATTTTCAAGCAGTCCATGTAGCATACCTTAACCTGTCCAAGTTCTTTATAGTCAGTCCAATTTGTTCCATCTGTGGATAGTTGTAGCTTGTAAGTCTTCACCCACTGATCTGCCTGAGAATTCCCTTGTGTGGACACAGCACAGACAATGTGAAGTGTCTGTAGGTCAATCTGTAGATATGGGTTCCGTTCACTTGTTTTTGCACACCATGATGATCCTGATGCGTAGTTCAGTCGACCATGCTTAGCTGGTGTGCTGGCACTTTGTATGGAAGAAGCAGTTATATTACTGTTTGGAATTGCTCCCCTTCCCATTCCAAGATCTAAATCAACACAAGCTCCTGTAGAAACAAAATTACATTTGCATAAGGGATATTGCAAAAGGGATAATGGGTTAGCTGTGAGAGGCAATTATATGTATGCCTTACATGTCTCTATTAGTTACCTCTACTATAAATAATTGTCCATGACACTGATAGTTAAAGTTAGGGCTACTCTGCTTCCAAAATAATTTACAAATTTTAGTACAAATTGAGAAGAAATCTCAGTCCTCAGTTCTTATTGAGCTTTACACCCTAACATCAGCATGCAAGTTCTATGCACTGTCCTCTTATGATCTCCAAAGATACTTGCATAATTTCCCTAAAAATCCAGGGCTTCTTGAGTCTCCAATCATTTCCTTTATTCTCATGACCTTAGTGTTTGACTCAGTCAGAGGTAGTAGAGGGGACGTGTTACTCCCCTCTACTAACTCTGATTCAGTGGTGATATACTGATGAAAGAAATTACATGCTTAATCATTCATAGCAGTAACATGGTATGACTAATCAAATCTGCAGCATTGAAATACTTTGAATATTATTTCTGAAGGTGACCATTTTTAGAGAAAAAGAGGAAATAAAACACTATTCTAGAGAAACTGTTGCGGTGCACTGGAGGGCAAGGGGAGAAATTTTTTGATAATTAAAGGTAGAATAACTGCCTCAGTAAATTTGAGGAAAGTGGGTTTGAAACTGGCTTTCTTAGAGCAAAGAGAAGTTCAGTTTAAGTGTAAATGTACAGTTTCTGAGGTGTTAGGTAGGGATGTCTGGGCTGATCCAACAGAATAGCTGAGTTAACTGATCTATGCTAGAAGAGGCACAATCTAAACTAATTAATCCATACCTTGTTATGAATACAGTTCTTTGAGAAAAGAAACATTGGAAAAAACAAATGACTATCATTGGAACAATGAAAGCTTTGTTTTAAGCTGGTTAAAACAGGTAGAATAATTTCTAAGAGTTTTGTTTAATGAAGTTGAAGCAGTACGTGTCACTACCTTGATCACTGCTGAGTTTCATTGCAACACAATACCGTAGTGTCAGAACCGTCGATCTGTCTGTTTGCTAAATAATTTAAAGTCAATTTCAATTCGGAAAGGTTCTCTATGCTTCCAAACTGAGCTAAATATAAATGGAGAGGGATTCTCAACTGTACTGTTCATTTTAAGGTGACATTTGAACAAAAAATGCAAATCCCAAGCGACTTTATTTTCTTTCGTATATTGATGTTGTCCGCAATGAGGATTAAGAAGCGACCGTGCGAAAAAGCCTTAGGCTACAGCACTCAAAACTGCAACAAATCTCCAACCAAGCACCCTGAACGTAAACATTACACTGAAAAAAGATATTTATAATAGAATTCAAATGAAATAGTGCTCACCTAAAGTCAGAGGAAGAAGTACAGCGAGAAAAGCTACCCGGAAACAAAGCTCGAGACTAAATTGCGCCATGAATCGATTGAGTGTGTCACGGTGTGCGATCACTATTGTTTTGATTGACCAGCTGTTTGTAACAAAACGCTCATTAGACAAAAGATATCTTTGATCTTCACTACTCAAGCTCGTCTTTGTATAGTTTGTAACAATATCGTCCGCGGTTCGTGCAAAACAATCACACTCTGCGTGGGCCTTGCTTTAAAGTCCCGTAACAAGATGACAGAAGGAATTTGTTCATACTTCCCAGAGTGCTTTGCACTGTAGCTCATATTTCAGTTGATTACTGTTTGGTTTCGTACGCAGCTTACAATTTAAAATGTAAATACTTTGTTTAAGATGGGCCCCTCGAAGTTCTCTAATGGCAGTCAGAATACATTCTCATTTCCATGTACTAGAGAAAAGGCAAAGGATTTCAAGCCGGCTAAATCATTATAACTGACTTAAAAATTACATCTGCAAGAAATAAAACTGCTTGACTAAACGGAGGAATCAGGATTCTTTAAACATTAATCCCGGACATTTTAGGGTTTCCGAATGCAATTGCTTTCTTCATACAAATCCTAAAAATTATACTGTTGCGACATACTGATAAAATATGGATGTATACTATATTGAAACAAGTTTGGGTTAACAGACAGCAGTGAGGGTGGAGGAAAAAAATTGTCTTTGTGCGAAAGCTGCCGAAAAATCTAATTA